GGGTTATTTACTAATAGTTTATTATAATTTCGACAGAATTTAGACAGTCACTAAGGGATTTCGGCAAGCAATCTTAACCCAATCCAGCTCATACCCGTGCCTATTTTCGCAACAAAACATTGGAGCAATATCCCGACTTATATTGGAAAGGTAGTGATGGAAACGATGATTATTATGGAATTACTGATGAATCTTTATGCCCGCTATGCAAGTCAGATTATTATGAGGATAAAGGTATAAGAGGCAGATATAAAAATGGATCATATTTTATTAAATGTGAACAATGTGGAATTAAAATCGAGATAACAGCATAAACCTTAAGTGTCAATGACACTAGCTCCGTTATCTTATGCTAATATAATTCACTTAAGTTTTTAAAGTTTCTCTAATGTAAATTATTTTTTTGTTGGTTATTCCCGCGATTAATTTAAAGGGATAGAATCATATAAAACGGGAACATGGATACACAAACAAATACCAATAAAACATTAACTCCCGAATATTTGGAGTGGGAAACCAAATTAGAATTACCAAGCGTTTTGTCAGATAAAACTCGTTCTAGGTTCTATAATAGATATAAGAAAAAAACTGGGCTTGATCCTTGGATAATGTCTGAAACTCCCGAATCCCCACAAATCGAAAAGACTGATAATTACCTTTCACAGGATTGTGTTATCAAAATTTCTAAGTTTCCAGAAGAGAAAGGTATAATTATTGAAACAGTACATAAACGTTTTCCTTTCTTGTCTTACACTAATTCGAATGCATGGCACCGGGATATTTTTAAATATACTAATTCAGAAGCTAAATGCCCGATATGTAAAAAGGTACATACACGGTATTGTATATGGAGTGATTGGAGCTGTCTAGGTAAAAATGATCATTATTTTCTTAATTGCTCTTTTCGTATTGATCAAAAGAAAGTTATAATCGCTAAACAGAGCTTACCAGAAATTCAAGTAAGTGTACCAAACAAAATCCAAGAGGTAGAGCCTAAGAAGTTTTTGTCCATTACAGAGGCTAAGAAAAAAAGGTGGGCCATGGGATGCTTTCGTGCTGACTTGGAGAGAGATATACGCCTTTACCGTTGTTACGATCCAAATATTCTATAATATAGTTATTTTAATGTTAGTTAATAACTTTTATTATATTTAGCATTTT